TTAAAACCGCCCGCCGGCCCGCCCTAGCGGCGTTGGCCCACCGCTGCGAGCCGCTAACCCTCGCGTGCCCTCCAACCGCCCCTCTCCACCCCCTCCCTCTCCGCGCCAGGCGGAAGGGACGTCCGCCGCCGCGCCGCCCCCGCTCGCCGCGCCGCCTCGCCCCGGCTTCGTCGCCCACTACCCGCCCCAGCCCTACTTGGACAGTTCGCCTGGCCCGTACGCCGTGGCGCCGCTCGCGATGATCGGCGCGGCTCCGTTGGTCTACCCTCAGCCTCCGCCTGGGCCCGACGGGACGATCGCCCCCTACGCCGCGGGCGGGCCTCCCCTCTCAGCCGTCGACAAGGACACGACCCGCACGGTCAGTCGGACCTCCGCCCGCCTCCTCCCCGCCACACCTCCCCTCGCCCTCTCCACTTCCTCGTCGCCTCGCAACTCCGCTCCGAACCCCGCTCCGCCCGCACCCCCGCTCCTCGCGCCCCGCCCCTCCGCAGGTCTGGACCCAGTCCGAAGACTCAGTCATCATGCAGGCCGTCGCATCGATCGGAGGCAAGTGGCGGCGCATCGCAGAGATGCTGCCCAACCGCTCCGACGACGCGGTGCGCAACCGGTGGCACCGGCTCGAGGAGGCGAGCGAGCGTCGCCGCCGCCCTCTCCTCCACCTCCCCCGCCCTCTCCTCCACCTCCTCCGCCCGCCACCCTCACGCACACCGCCTTCCCCACTGCCCACCCTCCCCGTGCCTTCCCCGTGCCACACCGGCAGGCGCGAAAGTACCACCAGCAAAAGGAGGTTGCGAGCACGCAAGGGCTCGCGCCCGCCGTCGTCGCTCCTAGCTCCGGCGTACGCAAGGTTGGGCGGCCTCCTCCCCCCCGCCCCCCCCCCCGCTCCTCCTCCCCCCTCCGATCGCTCCGGCGCGGCATGCGCGTCGCCTCGCGGGAACCCGTGCTTGAGTAGAGCCCCAAGGCATGATGAAGACCCCAAGCATGATTGCGGCCCTCGCAGGCGGGCTACAAGTGCTCCAAGTGCGGCATGCCAAAGAAGCACCACATCTGCCAGGCACAGGCGGCGCAGCCCATGCCGCCCGACCCGATGCGCGCGATTGCGCGCCGGCCGCCACCCGTCAAGCCGCACCCGCCCGCCGACTCGGAGTCTGGCGACATCTCGCGGCTCGGCTGGTCCAAGGAGGAAGACAACCTGATCCTCTCGTCGGTGGCGGAGCTCGGGCCAAAGTGGATGGAGATCGCCGCGCGCCTGCCCAACCGCACCGACCACGCCGCCCGCAACCGCTACCACCGGCTGCTCCGGCTGCACGAGCAGAGCCGCACGCCGTATGGCCTCGTCGGCGACGACGGCGGGTACGGCGCGCTGCCCGCCCCGCCGCCGCCGGTGGCCTACTGGCCGCCCGAGTACCAGATGGTCTACGCGCCTCAGATGGGCCACCCGCCGATGCCGGGGCAGGTGACCCCCCCCCGGCGCGTGGACTATCTGGTACTCGGGCGGCCAGTCGGCCTCCGGTGGCGGCGGGGCGTGCGGCGTCTCTTCCCTTTGGCGTCGGCGGCGCCCCTCCGGGTGGGTCTTTCT